ATAAGTTGGGTCGGCGCGGTCCCCTGTTTAACCGTTTTGGGATCTGATAGTGAGTGTGGCCAGCCCCTTTTATAGCTTCCTTGGATGTTTATTTTAGTTCCCTTTATAATGTGAGTAATCCGAAAACGCTTGGAAATTTTTCATTTTTCAGAGTGGGTTTTTTTTGCATATTCTGAAATCATGTTTACTGTGTCTTATTTATATATACAATAAAATATATATTTATATATATATTTATTATATTATATATATATAATATATATTATTATATTATATATATTAAAAAAATACTGGTTGTGCTGCTGTATAAAGTAAAAAGTATCTGGAAAAAGCTTTTAAATGGTGGAGCTCTCAGCTTTTCAAGTGTTGCTAGCCCCATCGTAAGCTCACTGGTAATATCAATCCCAGCGCTAATCTTAACTTTATTTGAAAATTTTATACCCTAATCGCAATGGGGGAGAGCCTTGAGGTCTTGATATTTGCAGTGAATGTACACGAAAACCCAAGGATAGAAACCCCAAGTTTTTGTTGGTGGTCTGGGACATTCCCGCGGCCCGGTCTGTGCCACTCATATGAATCCCGGGGGGGGGTTTTTGGGGGGTTTAAAAGCCCTCTCGTCCCGGGTTTTGACTAGGCCTCTGGTGGACCAGGGGGTGATAACCCTACTGTTACTTCTGGCGCGGCAAAACATACGGCACGCCCCCGTGGTAGTAGACTTTTAGGTGCCTGTCCAGTGCCCTTTTTGACAGTTAGGAGTCTATTAGTAATCCCCCTTGTGTATGCTGGGAGGCAACTGAACAGCCTTCGGCCCCTGACACTTACTGTGTTGTCTCTTAGTGTACTTGTGGTGCGCCTGCTTTTCATTGGGGGGATGTTCCATCTCTTGCCAAGTCTTTTGCTTTCGTAGGGAGTGATTCTGGTATGCAGATTTGGGACTACTTCCTCTAGGATTTTCCAAGTGTATGTTATCATGCATCTTTCTCGTCTCTGCTCAAGGGAGTGGAAATCAAGGAACTTCAACCGTTCCCAGGAATTTAGATACTTTATCGTGCTTATATGTGCCGTGAAAGTTCTCTTTATATTCTCCAGGTCTGCAATTTCGCCTGCCTTGAAAGGGGCCGTTAGTATTCAGCAATATTCCAGCCTGGAGAGAATAAGCGATTTGAAGAGAATCATCATTGGTTTGGCATTCCCTGTTTTGAAGGTTCTCATTATCCATCCTATCATTTTCTTAGCAGATAATTGTAGATACGTTGTTGTGATCTTTTCAAGTGAGATCCTCTGACATTATCACTCCCAGGTCCTTCACATTAGTTTTTCGCTCTATTGTGTGGTTGGAATTTATTTTATACACCGATACAGTTTTAATTTCCTTGAGTTTTCCATAGCGGAGTAATTTAAATTTGTCATCACTGAACTTCATACTGCTTTCCGAGGCCCAGTTAAAGATTATATTGATATCCGCTTGGAGATTTGAAGTGTCTTCGATGGATGACACTGCCCTGCAAATTCGGGTGTCATTCGCAAAGGAAGACACGAGGTTGTGGCTTACATCTCTATGTCAGATATGAGGATGAGAAACAGGATGGCAGCGAGTACTGTACCTTGTGGAACAGAGCATTCCAACGTAGCCGCCTCTAACTTGACTCTGTTTACTATCACTCTTTGCGTTCTATTTTCAGATCCATCTAACAACTTTTCCTGTTATTATTCCTTCAGCACGCATTTTGTGCTATTACGTCATGATCGCACTTGTCGAAGGCTTTCACAAAGTTTTTTGTATACTATATCTGCATTTTGTTTGTCCTCTAGAGTGCCCAAGACCATGTCACAGTGATCCAGTAGTTGGGATAAGCAGGAGCGACCTGCTCTAAACCCATGCTGCCCTGGGTTGTGCAACTGATGGGTATCTAGATGAGTGACCATCTCACTTGAGAAGTTTCTTTGGCAGAAACTGCTGAGATCAAAATGATCAGCATCTGTTAAGAGTTGTGTTTACAGTCACCTTGTTTGTGAAGGAAGACGCTAAGAACTATTGGACCATTTTCTATATGCTTTATTGAGGGTATTCAATACCAACAAGTTGATCAACAAGACACAAGTGAAACACTTGGGTATTTTTACTGCTGAATTGTTTCGCTTGCACCATATTCTTCACTCGGATACAAGCTAATTCTATTGTCTTCAGTTTATATCCTTCTATATTCGGCTGAAGAAAACTGTGTCGCTACGTGTGTTATTTCTTAACGTTCGGGTAACTGGCAGTGTCTGCGAGCCTCCAGCTCTTGTGTGGCAGAGTTCCAGTGTTTACATCTGTAACGGGTCCTTTCAGTATTTTCCAGGTGAGTTATGATGCCTCACTCTCCTGCGCGGCTGAGAGTACAATTTCAGGGATTATAGGCATATATATATGTATTAATGCGGCCAGTGAATTTTTTCAATACTAAATTTTTAAAATCTCACTTGCCTTAAGTAGGGTTGTTCATGTACAGAAGTATTAGTACTGAAAATTATTACAATCGAAACTAAGCTCTAAACCCACAAGGGTTAAATAACTGTTGAAGAGCATCCTCGTCGGTAAATCAGGGAACGGGTGGGATATGAACTCCTGGCAGACGAGTTATAAAACTCACAAGTCAAGAGACCGTTCTGTTATTCGTTTGTAATCGTGTTATTACGATTATGTGAATCCTTGTAGGCTTGGTAGCTCTATGAAGATTATTATCTATCCTTACCTTCAAGGATCACTATTGTGATCCTTACCTTCAAGGATCACTGTTGTGATCCTTACCTTCGAGGATCACTGTTGTGATCCTTCCCTTCAAGGATCACTATTGTGATCCTTACCTTCAAGGATCACTATTGTGATCCTTACCTTCAAGGATCACTGTTGTGATCCTTACCTTCAAGGATCACTGTTGTGATCCTTACCTTCAAGGATCACTGTTGTGATCCTTCCCTTCAAGGATCACTGTTGTGATCCTTCCCTTCAAGGGTCACTATTGTGATCCTTACCTTCAAAGGGTCACTATTGTGATCCTTACCTTCAAGGATCACTATTGTGATCCTTACCTTCAAGGATCACTATTGTGATCCTTACCTTCAAGGATCACTATTGTGATCCTTACCTTCAAGGATCACTATTGTGATTCTTACCTTCAAGGATCACTATTGTGATTCTTACCTTCAAGGATCATTGTTGTGATTCTTACCTTCAAGGATCATTGTTGTGATCCTTCACTGTTGTGATCCTTACCTTCAAAGGTCACTATTGTGATCCTTACCTTCAATGATCACTGTTGTGATCCTTACCTTCAAGGATCACTACTGTGATCCTTACCTTCAAGGATCAATACTGTGATCCTTATCTTCAAGGATCAATACTGTGATCCTTATCTTCAAGGATCACTACTGTGATCCTTCAAGGATCACTACTGTGATCCTTATCTTCAAGGATCACTATTGTGACCCTTACCTTCAAGGATCACTATTGTCATCTTTTAAGGTAAGGAAGATTATCAACATCCTTGGTTAACCTGAGTTATGAGAGTGTGAATCACTCACACACAGTTGTGAGAGTGTGAATCACTCACACACAGTTGTGAGAGTGTGAATCACTCACACACAGTTGTGAGAGTGTGAATCACTCACACAGTTGTGAGAGTGTGAATCACTCACACACAGTTGTGAGAGTGTGAATCACTCACACACAGTTGTGAGAGTGTGAATTACTCACACACAGTTGTGAGTGTGAATCACTCACACACAGTTGTGAGTGTGAATCACTCAAACACAGTTGTGAGAGTGTGAATCACTCACACACAGTTGTGAGAGTGTGAATCACTCACACACAGTTGTGAGTGTGTGAATCACTCACACACAGTTGTGAGTGTGTGAATCACTCACACACAGTTGTGAGTGTGAATCACTCACACACAGTTGTGAGTGTGTGAATCACTCACACACAGTTGTGAGTGTGTGAATCACTCACACACAGTTGTGAGTGTGTGAATCACTCACACACAGCTCATTCTACTTGTATACAGCACCCCCTGGATAAAAGGCACATTTCAGACTCTTAGAGTACAAGTGAAAGCTACTTACTCTATACAAGATACCTGATCAAACATCAACAGGCAGTGTAGAACCACTGGACTCCAAAGATCAGTGTCTGTGTAACAAATGATGGTAGAACACCACACTAAAACCTAACTGCGGTAATGATATAAATTCTAATAATTTTCTATACGCCCTGTCTATGCATTTGGTGGGGGGGGGATGTGGAAGGTATTCAGGCTTAATTCAGGGAACTGGAGCACAGATTCAATTCCCTAGATCTAGAAACCCCTCACCAGCGTCAAGGAACCTTCCTTGAGGGGTGAACGATTCTCAAGCGTTCTATCCTCGAAGTGTCTCCCGAGGCCAGATTATTGTTGTGTATAGTATGACAACACCACTGTTATGTTGCGACATTTATTTCATTACAAGTGTACACAGCTGAGTGACGTCGACACCTCAGTGTTCAGACATCGTAAATGTACCTTCCCACAGGTGTGGAGGAGCAGAGTGACCTTGACAGCTCAGTGTTGTCACACTGAGTTGTCAAGGTCAGTGTACTTTTCCACAGGTGTGGAGGAGCAGAGTGACCTTGACAGCTCAGTGTTGTCACACTGAGTTGTCAAGGTCAGTGTACTTATCCACAGGTGTGGAGGAGCAGAGTGACCTTGACAGCTCAGTGTTGTCACACTGAGTTGTCAAGGTCAGTGTACTTATCCACAGGTGTGGAGGAGCAGAGTGACCTTGACAGCTCAGTGTTGTCACACTGAGTTGTCAAGGTCAGTGTACTTATCCACAGGTGTGGAGGAGCAGAGTGACCTTGACAGCTCAGTGTTGTCACACTGAGTTGTCAAGGTCAGTGTACTTATCCACAGGTGTGGAGGAGCAAAGTGACCTTGACAACTAAGTGTTGTGACGCCCTCACTAAGTGTACCTTCCCACAGGTGTGGAGGAGCTGAGTGCTGAGACGTTGATAGCTCAGCTGGACAACGGCGTCCACGTGTGTCACCTGGCTGAGGTGATCTCCAGGCGGGCCCAGGAGGCCAGGGATAAGGGCATCTCCTCTCTGGTAAGTCTCCACAAAGTCATCAGCTTTAATGGTTGTATTATTATCGTCTCTTCCGTCACCCACGATGGCCCTCCACACACCTCACCTTTTATAAACTTGACGCAACAATCATTTCTGACAGCTCTGATGTCTTATTTTATAACGTACGTACGTGTGTGTGTGTGTGTGTGTGTGTGTGTGTGTGTGTGTGTGTGTGTGTGTGTGTGTGTGTGTGTGTGTGTGTGTGTGTGTGTGTGTGTGTATCTGTGTGTGTGTGTGTGTCTGTGTGTGTGTGTCTGTGTGTGTGTGTCTGTGTGTGTCTGTGTAATCCCCTAATTGTACTCACCTAATTGTGGTTGCAGGGGTCGAGATTCAGCTCCTGACCCCGCCTCTTCACTGATCGCTACTAGGTCCTCTCCCTCTCTCTGCTTCCTGAGCTTTGTCATACCTCTTCTTAAAACTATGTATGGTTCCTGCCTCCACTACTTCACTTGCTAGGCTATTCCACTTCCTGACGACTCTATGACTGAAGAAATACTTCCTAACGTCCCTGTGACCCGTCTGAGTCTTCAGCTTCCAGTTGTGACCCCTTGTTCCTGTGTCCTCTCTCTGGAACATCCTATCTCTGTCCACCTTGTCTATTCCCCGCAGTATCTTGTATGTCGTTGTCATGTCTCCCCTGACCCTTCTGTCCTCCAGTGTCGTCAATCAGATTTCCCTCAACCTTTCCTCGTACGACTTTCCCCTGAGCTCTGGGACTAGCCTTGTTGCAAACCTTTGTACTTTCTCTAACTTCTTGACGTGCTTGACCAGGTGTGGGTTCCAGACTGGTGCTGCATACTCCAGTATGGGCTTAACATACACAGTGTACAGTGTCTTGAACGATTCCTTATTAAGGTATCGGAACGCTATTCTCAGGTTTGCCGGCGCCCGTATGCTGCAGCAGTTATTTGGTTGATGTGTGCCTCCGGTGACGTGCTCAGTGTTATGATCACCCCAAGGTCTTTCTCCCTGAGTGAGGTCTGTAGTCTTTGTCCACCTAGCCTATACTCTGTCTGCGGTCTTCTTTGCCCCTCCCCAATCTTCATGACTTTGCATTTGGCAGGGTTGAATTCGAGAAGCCAGTTTCTGGACCAGATGTCCAGCCTGTCCAGGTCTCTCTGCAGTCCTGCCTCATCCTCATCCGATTTAATTCTTCTCATCAGCTTCACATCATCTGCGAATAGGGACACTTCAGAGTCTATTCCTTCCATCATGTCGTTCGCATATATCAAAAATAGCACTGGTCCTAGAAATGACCCCTGTGCGACCCCGCTCGTCACAGGCGCCCACTGTGATACCTCTTCACGTACCATGACTCGTTGTTGCCTCCCTGTTAGGTATTCCCTGATCCATTGCAGTGCCCTCCCTGTTATATGCGCCTGATCCTCCAGCTTCTGCACTAATCTCTTGTGGGGAACTGTGTCAAAGGCCTTCCTGCAGTCCAGGAAAATGCAATCAACCCACCCCTCTCTCTCGTGTCTTACTTCTGTTACCTTGTCATAAAACTCCAGAAGGTTTGTGACACAGGATTTGCCTTCCATGAACCCATGCTGGTTTTCATTTATAATCTTGTTCCGTTCCAGGTGTTCCACCGCTCTCCTCCTGATAATCTCCTCCATGACTTTGAACACAATACACGTCAGAGACACAGGTCTGTAGTTTAGTGCCTCATTTCTGTTTCCTTTCTTAAATATGGGGACTACATTTGCTGTCTTCCATTTCTCAGGTAGTTGCCCAGTTTCAAGGGATGTGTTGAAGTTTGTGGTTAGGGGCACGCACAGCATCTCTGCTCCTTCTCTAAGAACCCACGGGGAGATGTCCGGTCCCATCGCCTTTGAGGTATCAAGGTCACTTAGCAGCTTCTGCACCTCCTCCTCGGTTGTTCGTATGTCATCCAACACTTGTTGGTATATTCTCTCTTGATGTTCCCTTCTGTGCTGTCTTCCCAGAGCCTTTCTTGTCTCTACTGTAAAAACTTCCTTAAATCTCCTGTTTAGCTCCTCACATACCTCCTGATCATTTCTTGTGAGTTCTCCACCTTCTGTCCACAGTCTGATCACCTGGTCTTTGACTGTTGTTTTCTTCCTGATGTAGCTATACAACAGTTTCGGATCAGTCTTGAAATAACAAAAAAGGCACAATACCCTGACTGGAACGATACACAAATAACTCGCACATAAAAGAGAGAAGCTTACGACGACGTTTCGGTCCGACTTGGACCATTGACAAAGTCACACTAACCAGAAGTGGAGCAGGACGGCTATATATAGGCAGGAAGAGGTGGTGGTAGTAGTAGTAGTAGTACAAGAATGGTATATAATACCGACAAGACGAAATTAAGACACACGCGCAACACCCGGGCATCCCTATCGTAGACGTTTCGCCATCCAGCCAGCCACTGGATGGCGAAACGTCCACAACAAAGACAACCAGACGCCGCACATGTGTCTTAATTTCATCAGTAGTTGTAGTACTAGTAGTAGAAGAGGTAGTGGTAGTGGTAGAAGTGGGAAATAAGGAGGACGAGCCAGTCAAATACAAAGGAAGGGGAGCACTGCAAGAGAGTTAGGTGCCCACTGAGGGAGAGCAAGCGCACAGAGGTGCGTGAAAGGGGAAGTGGTGAAATAAATGAAGAAGAGACAGAAACACGAGACAGAAGAGAGAAAGACAACCCAGAGGGGAAAAGGAAAGAGGAAAGGGGAAGAGGGAGAAGAAAAAGAAAAAGAAAAAAATGAGGAGTCAGGTTAAGTCACGGGTGTTCTGAAGTTTGGAGCATTTTACAGTGTAGTGGGAGAGGAAGGCATCTACAGAGACGAAGCCAGGGCTAAGATTCATACAAGGAAAGTTGTGTATTAGAGAGGATTCAACTAGACGGCGACTGTTCGAGTTGGAAGTAGGGAAGACAGTTTTAGCAGAAGACCAGTCAATAGGATGGCTATGATCTCTGACGTGACAGAAAAGAGCATTGTTAGTGTCGGCAAGCCTAACACTATTTTTGTGCTCCCTAAGTCTGTCAGAAAGAGATCGACCAGTTTCTCCGAAGTATTGAAGAGGACAGGAGGAGCAAGAAATAGAGTAGACACCAGGAACATCTGTAGAGGGAGGAGAGGTATGAACGAGATTAGTGCGAAGAGTGTTAGTCTGGCGGAAGGTAAGCTTGATGTCTAAGGGACGGAGAGAATTGTTGAGATTAGAAAGACCGGAAATGTAGGGAAGGCAGAGGATAGAAGAGTTCCCAGGAGTAGAGAGTTTGGGAGAGAAGAAATTGCGTTTGGCACGTGAGAGGGCAGAGCCTATGAAATGGGAAGGGTAGCCAAGACGGGAAAACGAATTATGAAGAGTGGAAATTTCTGCTGGAAGGAACTGAGGATCACAGATGCGGAGGGCACGGAGAAAGAGGGAGATAACACTTTTCTTGACAGGGGAAGCATGATAGGAAAAGTAGTGAATGTACATGCCACTGTGCATAGGTTTTCGGTAAACGGAAAAGGAAAAACCTGTATCTGAGCGGTGGACATGGACATCAAGGAAAGGAAGCAAGGAATTAGATTCCCATTCAGCTTCAAACTTAATGGAAGGGGCAAGATTATTAAGAGCTTTAAGAAAAGGTTGGAAGAGACTGGAGTCATGAGGCCACAGAGCAAAGATGTCATCCACATAGCGGAGCCAGAGTGAAGGTTGCACATCGAGGGTAGGAAGAAGAACAGTCTCGAAGTATTCCATGTAAAGATTAGCAAGGACAGGAGAGAGAGGAGAGCCCATAGCGACACCGAAGGTGTCAATGGTCCAAGTCGGACCGAAACGTTGTCGTAAGCTTCTCTCTTATGTGCGAGTTATTTGTGAATCAGTCTTGATTTTCGATGCTATGTTATTTTCATACTGTCGCTGGGCCTCCCTCCTTACCTGTGCATACTCGTTCCTGGCTCTGCGACTAATCTCCCTATTTTCACGTGTTCTCTGTCCTCTGTAATTTTTCCATTCTCTACTGCACTTTGCTTTTGCCTCCTTACACCGTCGGGTAAACCAGGGGCTCGTTCTGGTCTTCCCATTGTTTCTGTTGCCCTTGGGAATAAACTGATTACATCGTCTTCACATCTCTACTGCTCCTGCCTACTTTCTGTACTCGACTGAAGAAGCCTACTGTGTAGGCGAAACGTTTCGGAATAAAGTTGCCTAAATGTTGCCTATGTGTCTTATCTACCAGCGTGGTGGGTGGGGGCAAGTGTCTTCTGCTTTTCTCTCCTCGACTCGTACACCAAGATAATACATCATAGTCATTGATCGAGACTGATATAGATAATTCTCAGCAGATAACCTCAGTGTGGATCTCCAAGTCCTCTGATGTCTCTCATGTACTCCCGTGTACTCTATACTCCGTGTGCTAATTTCAGGACTAACTCGCTACTTACATTCTGGAGTTAGTGGGTCTTACACCAGCAGATGCTAAGTACATTCCACACCTAAATGTATTCTCCACCTAAGCGCATTTTAAACTTGCTGTTAAATGCATTCCACACCACACAGTATAATTCCAGTCGCATATGTTGTGTTAGTAGATTCAAATATTTAGCAATTCTTATGAAAACACTAAAATAAGCGGCGAGAAGAGAAGGTGAGAGAAAAAGAGGCAGAAAGAGTGGGAAGGAGAATCAACAGCAAGATCTAGGTTTATGGGAATCAGATAATGTCGGGTAATTTGCCGGTGAGATAACATTAAGTCAGTTTCAAGCATTTCTCCAGGTTCACGAGGACGCTTTACACACACACACACATACACCCACACACATACACACACACACACATACACACACACACACATACACACACACACACACACACACACACACACACACACACTTCTAGCATTACATACATATGGGCATAGCAATTTGACCACAGAGGCTCTCACCTTGGGTATTAAGACTAGGATCAGAGGAACTCTGTTCCCTTACTAAGGATACATATCCAGTCCAGTTAAA